CCCTTAGGCATAAAATATCACATACACAGATTCTGGGCTGTTTTGGCATCCAAAACTCTCAATTCTTTTATTTTCTTCTTTGCAGGCATAGTTTTCTTTTCTTCTGAAGCTTCTGTATTCTTTGGAACTGAAAGAAATTTGGTGATTCATAAACAACAATGGTACTAACAACAAATACATGGAATGACATTAGTAAGGCATATTAACTACATTAATAAAACTCATTCCAAAATCAATAAATGTGTTTATTCCATTAGTTCAAGGAAGAGAATGAACATAAAAATATAGACCTGTTTCCAGGTTTCCCTGCAAATTAAATAATATCAGCACTTAAGCTGAAAAGATAAGCCAAATAGAACCAAAAATCAATTGCTGCTTCTTACCTAATGTGCAGCATTAATTACTCCTTTACCAGTTACCTACAGCAGCACTAGAATTAAACATATAGTAAAAGCTCTCTAATTTGGACTAATTTAGGAAAAAGACAGACATGCATTTGTCCTAAAATATGCTGAAATAGAAATGTATTTAATTCAGTAAAATTGCTTTAAAGTATCTAAGGTAACTTTTACTGCTAAAGAGCCTGCCATATAAAATTCCTGCTGAGACTGCTTTAAAGAATAGATATGAACCATTTGCAAGTTGTGTACAACAGTAGCACCCATTTTCACACACAGAATGAATGAACAGCAAACACATGGTCTTTTGAGTAAGTAAGCTTGGTCTCTGTCACTATTTTCTAGTACTATCTGCTTTTTTTATAAGAAAAGATTAACATATTCTTTATTCAGAAATGAACTTTCTGGTTGGAAACAATAAAAAGACCTGAAACTATAAGGAGTTGCAGTGCTGGGCAGTCGTTTCCGTACCTCCCCCCATATGTTTCATTAATTCTGCCTCCAAAATAAGCTATCCCCCCAAAAAAAAAGTAAAAAGAGTCTTTTTACTATGAAAATGAAGATTTATGTTAAACCTCTAACCCCACTTATACAGAAATTATACAGCTACCATTATACTCATGTAGCAGGCAGACTGAGGGGTACCCTGGGACCCCCAAACATGTACACCCTAAAGGGATTCTGCCACATGCTGCATAAAGACAAAGCATACTCTTAATGTGTAGGGTCTTTAATAGCATGTTTATGCATAAAAAGAGAAGAAAGGATATAGTTTCCCAAGGAAACACCCCAAGTTACTCATCCCCTCATGGGTAAATGCCCAACCAAACAGGGTTGGCCCAAAGCAGGGCTACTGGGCCTGAAAACTTGCCACAAGTCTAAAGCACCTTCTGGCAGAGAACCATAGGAAAGGGGCAGAAGGTCCCACACAAATCTGGAATGAAACAGCAAAATCAAAGGAAAAATCAAAGTAATGGCTGCCATAATCAGCCTCCCCAAATCTTTCACCCACGTGTCTCTTCCAAGTGTCTCTACAGGTCTCTTCCATGTGGCTCCTTGTTCCCCAAGTCCCTGGTGCAAGTCCAAGGCTGAGGGGCAAGCAAGCTCTGCTTGTTCACATTTCTCCTTTCTGTGTGTCTCCAGTGTGTCTTTCCTCATATCCTCCCTAAGTGTCTCTTTTGTGTTTCAAAGCACCCCTTGTTGCTCAGATCTGCCCTTCAAGATGTAGGGCAGAAAACATGGAACCTCCTCTTTTATAAAGATCCCTCTGTTACACTCCAGTGTTGCCAGATAATTTAATATATAAAAAAAGTGTTTTTAAGGTAGTGGGACTATGAAAATATATCAGAAAATAAAGTCAACATTTTGTTTAATCAAGTAGAGTGATATGCTCTTGCCCCCAATCTCATGCTTTTAAACTTCATCACTAAATCTTATGGTCATAATCATGCTACTTCTTATTACTGTTAAAAATATAAATTCATTTTGAAGTAATAATTATTTTACTCTCTTAATTCACCTGATCTTTGTCAAGCAGGTCACAAAGGAGTTACAAATTTTTGGAGAAAAAGCAACACACAAACATAGCAAATCTTTGCTAACATATGTATATACAGATATCAACACCTGGAAAACTTTCCAGACATTTTTTTTTAGAGTACAACAAAATATTGCCACCTTCATTAAGATCCCCTTTGTATTAATGATAGAAAATATAGAAAATTAAATGTGCTTACTACAAAAAGTCAGAGATATTAAACAGCCTGAATAAACTACTAAGTCAATTCTAAGCTTTATCAGAATGATCAATCTAAATTGATGCAGAATCTAAGCAGACTAAAAATTATATTTGAAATCATGACCTTACAAGAGATGACAAGTTGTTTGTCATGGTTACTCAATATTACCCAGTTATTACTTCCACTGTAAGAAAAATGACTTTTAATATATTTGTTTTAAAATTATCACAAATGGGGCCTCCCTGGTGGTGCAGGGGGTTAATACACAACCTAGCTGTCCGCAGCCACTGCAGCATGAGTTCGATTCCCAACCAGGGCGCTACCTACATGGCACAGCAGACCTCTCCTGACTTGCCCGCTGCTCCCCTCAGCAGAGTATTTAGGTCCATCTGCCTGTTCTGCTCCCTACTGTCTCTGGTGAATCCTCTCATCCCTCACACCTCTGGCCTGTACCCCAGATCTTGTATACATAAATAAATAAATCTTTAAAAAAATTAGCACTAATGTCCCAAGAGGAGTATTTCCTATGCAAAAAAAAAGCATTTTTTTCTAATTCAGGCCACTCCGAGCTTAACACAACTCTGTATAAATGCATGGCAGTCCAAAAGTCATTCCTTTTGTCAATAAAAAATTATCTGAACTAAACTGAAATTATTTCTAGAATCATTAAGAAACTTTAACCCAGTCAATCAAATAGTCGAGGAAACTGTCAATTTTTAATGTAAAGAATGCAGTAATATTATTTTGCAAACTAATGGACTCCTGACTAACCCACGCATACATAAATGCTCATTTAATGACTTCATATTTTTGTATTATTTCATTACAATATATATTTACCTCTCCCTTTTCCAAATGAACAAGCAGTTTAAGACTTAATGGCTTAAATATCTACAGTTTGCAATTCTGTCTTTTGAATCTTAATATATTTTCCTTGTACTATGCAAGATGGCTTTGTCCTGGGTTCAAGAAAGGGTAAGGATCTCATGAGTGCGCTCTGCCATTTTATGAACCACAGAAAAAAATCATGTTTTAAAATAGCTCCTTAAATACACAGGCTTTCAGAAATGTTTTTACCCAGATCCACAGATATTGGTCAATGGCTATTAATGTCTTCATCCTTCATGTTTTTAAAGGCATTGCTTAGTGATCCACAACCATGGACTTAAATAATAGAGAATTTGGAGAGTAGCAGTGATACATAAAAATTACCCAGATAGTACTGAGGATTTTACATGTAAAAATTTCCTGCCTTCATGACTATACATATCACTTGCCCTAGGATACAATTATTGTGTATATGTTCCAAATGCTTACAAAATTTAAGTATTCTATAACTGAATTCAAGATTGACAATTCTATAGCTTGATTACAGCTTACAGAGATATTTATCCAAGGAAGACATACAATGAACAACAAGTGTATGAAATCATGCTCTTTATCATTAATCATGAAAGAAATGCAAATAACCTCACATCTGTTAAGAAGACTATTAGCAAAAAACAAAAAGATACGTGTTGGTGAAGATGTGGAAACATTGGAAAGTTATACTCAGTTGGTACGAATGTGAAAACCATGAAGTCATAATGGAACACAGTATAGAGGTTCCTCAAAAATTAAAAATACAACTACCATATGCAATCCTACTTCTGGACCTATATCCAAAAGAACTGAAATCAGGACCTTGAAAGGTAATTATTTGCACTCCCATGCTTACTGGAATATTAATCACAATAGGCAAGATAGGGAAATAATCTAAACATCTAGCAAAGAATGAATAATAAAGAAAATGTGGTAAATGCTTATAATGGAACAATATTCAGCCTTAAAAAAGAAGGAAATCCTACCATACACATAATGGATGACAGGTGTGGTACAACACTGTGCCTATAGGTAACAATAATGGATTGTGCACTTAAAAATTTACACTTAAAAATTTGCTGAAATAGCACTTCATGTTAAAATTTCCCTTAACAATAAAACATGGAATTTAAATTAAAACATATTAAATTATAATCATTCTGTAACAGGGTGGTCCCCAGGAAAGGGGGAGGTTCCAGGTTTCCTGCCCCACCCAAGGGAGGGTGGAGCTGAGCAGGGAGAGAAGAAGCTGCAGAAGAGACTGAGGAAGGAAGCAGGATGGAGCCAGGAGACCTGGAGGAGGCACATGGAGCCTAGAGACACGTGAAGAAACTGCGCTTGTCTTTTGGTCGTGGACTGGGTGACACAGATGTGGGTGAGACCCATGGGGAGGTGACAATGGCAGCTTTCATCTTGATGTTGATTTTGCTCTTTTCCTTCCAGGCTTGTCTGGTTGTTTCTGACCCTTTTCTGTGGTCCTCACTGGAAGATGCTTTAGACTTGTGGCAGGCTTTGGGGCCTTGCTCTGGGCCATTCCCATATGGATGGACTTTTACCCACGAGGGGACAGGTAACTTTGGGTGCTTCATTCAGAAACTAGACTCTTTGCCTTTCCTGTATTGTTTCCTAGTTTTATTAAAGTTCCTTCCCATTAAAGTTTCATATGTTTTGTGTTGATGCGGCGGATGGCAGAACCCATTTAGAATAGGCAGGTTTGCGGGGTTTGGGCTGCCCCTCTCTCTGTCCTATAACAATTCCACAATTATTTGAAATAATATCAGTGATATTATTTCAGTGATATCAAAGAAGGTGATATCAAAGAAGATTTTTTACATTTCAGTAAAAATCTTCAAAAATTGATGTTCTCATCAATGACCCTCAATTTCATATTGAGGTCTCCAGTCAAAAGGGATCTCTTCCTGAGTAAATGAAAAACCATATAGCCACAGGGTTTGAATCCAATGAGTTAATCTGAGTGCTTAAATTGGCAATGCTAATAGATTGAATTATAATGAAACATTAAAAAATGCAGTCAGTAGGAAGATAATGTAATAATAAAGACATTTGTATTATTATTAAAGTTATTACATCCAGATACTAATTATCTAAAGTAAAATGCCCACTGAGCA